GTTTTTTGGGGTTTTCGGGTTTAGGGTTTAAGGTTTAGGGCTAGGGGTTCGGGGCTCGTTGGTTTCTAGGTTTCCTGCAAAGCCACGATGTTTTCTGTTGCAGTTGGTTCATACTTGTGCCTGGGCCACAGACCCTACACGCTAGAGTCCTTCAGCCGAGGTACGTTCAGATGAGTTTCCGCGAGAAGTTGGAGAAATACCTGAACCCGGACAGGGGCGGAGTTTAGGGTTTCAATTGTTCCGTTACTTACACGGGTTCAAGGTGTATGCCGTAGTTACAATTACGGGTGCTGAGATGTTAACTGCTGACACCTTCCCTCCTGAAGGGCCTGAATATGGCGAACCCCACCTCTAATCCTGATTTAGGCAGGCGGGTGTTAGCATTCAGGGGCTTCAGTGTAGTGTTCCTCTTACAAAGCTCTGGTCTTGAACCCTAACCCAAAGCCCTAAACCGCAGACTTTGAAAAGAGGGGCCAGGGTGGCCGGGGGGGTCAGGAGAGGCAGGGCAGGTCAAAAGCCAAAAAATGACGAGTTTTGGCACCCTGAAGCCTTGAACTCGGAAAATGCCCGACGAGGAACAGAAAAAAACCGCAGTCTCTTTAAGGCTTAGGTCTGCCCCCAGCCAGGAGTGCAAGTTCTACCAGTACGTGCGGGGCCTTTGGGTGGATGCCGTTGTAACGCTTCCTGGCACTCAACCCTAAACCCTAAACCCTAAACCCTAAACCCTAGACCCGAAACCCTAAAACCTGGCACTCGCAGTTTCGGCTTTGGGGGCGGCGGGGAGGGGGAGGGGGGGGGGAGGGGTTGGTTTCTCTAACCGACGAGTTTCTAGGTTCTTGTTATATAAGGGATTTAGTTTAAGTTACCATAATAGGGATCTATAGCAAATAATATGGTGGTCTTATTCTAGTAGCTTAAAATATAAGTCCCCTAAAGAAGAAGCCAGGTTTAGGGTTCGGGGTTTTAGAACTTTGCGTTCAGGGTTGACTAGAAGGGTTCTAGGGTCTTCGAAGTTTTGGAGATAAGGGTTTTGTGGTCGAGATTTCAGGGTTTAGTTTAGGGTCTTGAGGCTTTAGGGTCTTTGAGTTTGGGGTGCCTGAGTTTCAGGGACAGGGTCTTAGGGAATCAGTGTCTTTCGGGGTTTTACGGTTTAGGATTGTTTGTGGGACTTATGGGAATTGTCCCTAAACCCAAACCCCCTAAAGCCTAAACCCTAAGCCCTAAGGCATAGGCCCCCCACCTACTGTGGTGGGTGGCCGGCGCTTAGGCCCGTGTGCCAGCCCGCCTTTCCACAGCCATGGGGACCGAAGCACCCACGTCGTACCCGGTACCGGAACACGTTCTTGCCGGGACCAGGATTCTTAACAAAGTCGTCATTACTTGGGCCCGTGGTTTTGGCCCTTTTGGGCCTCCTCGGTTGGCCCACGATGCGATGCGCAGGCAATGCTGGACGAAGTGCACAGTTGTAACTGCAGTTCTCGTGCCCCCCTTGCCCCCCTTGGACCCCTTGGACCTAGACCCTAAACCCTAAACCCTAAACCCTAAGCCTAAATCCTAAACCATAAACCCTAAACCCACCCCTGGACCTCCCTAGACCCCCTGCCCTGCCTTCCCTGCAGTATCGTCTGGCAAGAAGAAAACCTGCGGTAACACAGAACCGACCTCAAACTTGGGCTTAGGGCTTTCAGGGTTTAGGGTTTTAGGGTTTAGGGTTTAGGGCTTTGGGTTTGAGGTTTAGGGTTTAGGGCAAGCAGGTTTTGCCGTCAGCTTGTAGCTTCAACTGTTTCGCTTGCCTGCTGCACATGGAAGCTTCACTCGCAGGAGCTCTCTTTTGCTAAAGAACTCCGAGGATCCCTCTGATAGCCCCTTAAGGTCCCCTATAGTAGTCCCAAAAGCCCATTCCTCCATTCCCTACTAAGAACCAGTCAGGCAAACTCCGAGGAAATTCTGGAGGGGCCTTCCCTGCACCCAGGAGCTTAAAACCCTACGGTTTAGGGTTTAGGGTTTAGGGTTTAGGGTTTAGGAACCCGAAACTACCCAAACCCTGAGCTCGCCTAGGCTCGCCGTTGGGGGCCACGCTGACCCTGTGAAGCGGACGACCCACATGCTGCCTGAAGGGCCGCTTGGCTCTGGCCTTCAGTTTTTGTGGGTTTCTGATAGTTGTGTAGCGTTTTGGGCTCAGATTTAAAGTATTTGCTTTTTTTTGGGGTTTTAAGAATTGCTTGGCAGAGTGTCCTAACAGGGGTACAAGTAAGTAACGATGTAGATCCCTGATTAACAAACACTCTTTCCATCAGCGTCTTAGCATTCGGAGCCCCATCATATTCCAGTTAAGGTGGCGGGGTGGAAGCTAGGGAGTCTAGGGATTTAGGAGTTCAGGGTTTGGGGTTTAGGGGTCTGGGGTCAAGGGTGTCGGGTTTGGTGTGTAGATAGGGGGAAGCATGTTGCTCGTGTCTCTGTCTGAGTCCAAGCAGCACATGGGGGGAAGCGATCTAGGTTGTGCCCTGAATGCGCTCGAAACCCACCAGACAAGGCCGGGAAACCTTGTGGCCCTAAACCCTAAACCGTAAACTCTAAACCCTAAACCCTAAACCCTAAACCTCAATCCCGCCAGCACATGGTGGGAGCGACTTTAGCCTAGTGGTGGTGTCCTGGTGGTCTTGGGGTGGTCTTTGCGTGGTCTCATGGTGGTCGCTCTGTGGTGTCCTCCTTGTCTCCTGGTGGTGCTGGTGGTGGTGGACGCCTAGTCGTCCGGGTAGCTGGTAAAGACCGAATACACAGCCAAAGAAGAATTCTGTAGGTACTACAAATTCTGACCCTTGGGCCGGATTCCGTAGACGCAGATCCAGCAAATTTGCAGATTCCGGAAGTTCTGGAGTTTGCGTAGATTCGAGATGGGTCGTATAGCTGCTAGATTCACGGAATCTACCGAAACTGGCTGAATCTACCGAATGCACGGGATCCAGCTCGCTAGGCAGGCGGGTTCAGGGAGTCTGTGGAAATTAGGGTGTCGGGTTGGTGGTCTTCGGAATACATACATACATAAATACATACATACATACATACATACATACATATATACATACATACATACATACATACATACATACATGCATACATACCTACAGAAGTATATAAATATACACATGTATATATGCACATATTTACTGTTATAGTCATGTAATTCTACATGTATAACTATAGTTATGTAGTCATACCTGTGCTTATGACTATAGACATATACATAAATGTAGATATGAATATACATGTTTCTGTATACATATATATATATATGCACACACCCACACACTTGCATATACAAGTGTATAGACACACACACACTCACACACACACATATATATATATATGAATTTAGTCATATATGTATACAACCACATAGCCATTTTAGATCAAAGTATCAGGGTACTTATGAGTATGAATATAAATACAAAATAAATATGCAGATATATGTAGGTAAGTAGTATATATATATATATGCATATATATGTATATATACGTACACGCATACAAACTAATATGCATACGATATATGCGCACGCACACATACACGCATACACAATATGTTCTAGCGCTGAACCCACCCTTGTAAAGCCCATAACCCCATAACATCCTGCAACATTTTGTGAAATCCTTGGAACTTGGAAACCCAATCAAAACTTTGCCAAAGACACTCACTAACCCTTGTACAAAAACCCATATATGGTGCTGAAAGACCCTTGTACAGCACCGCAAGGCCACCATCTCAGGTTCTATGGGCACGGATTCAACGTTTCGGCGTGTGTTGTTTTTTGGTTCTGGGTGTTAAGAGGTTGTACGGTTTCAGGGTGTGAGCTTGAAGTTTAGAGTTGTCGGGTTTGGATGTTGGGAATTAGGGTTCTAAGTTCGGATTCACCATCGGCTCGGACTACATACTACGCTGGCTGTCGTGTTCAAACATCCCAAAGTAAAAGCCGCAAGTTGCATTCCTTAAAGCTTACACTCCCAGAAACTTTAATCCGGAACGGCCCGAAACTGTAAACGCTAAAAATGGCTTAGGGAGACTTGCTTTCAAGTTTTTGGGTTTTCCGAGTTCAGGGTTTTCTGAGTCTGAGCCGTTATGCACTCAGCGTGCAGGCGCGGTTTTAGCGTTGGAAACAGCATGGCTCTAAATCTTAGAGCCCAAACCAGGTATCAAAAGATCTGGACGACCATGGCTGAGCACGATGCAATCGACGTCCGGTTTGGTGTTCAAATTAAAAGCACCTGCGATGCAAGATTTCTGCTTTAGGATCTGTCGCTGGTCCGGGGTGGAGAGTTCATAGTCATGAAAAATGATTGCAATTCAAAGAGGTGAGAAGAACTAGTAATAGTTATGCTGGTACAACCCCTTTGTTACAGTACTATACTGTATTCTAGAGCTTAATCCCAATTTATCGCGCCCCTACATGCCATACAACCTGGCTAGCTGCCCGCAGACAGCCGACATGGGAGTTTCCCTAATTGGTCGGGCCTGACACAGTTGTAGACCGAGAACAGCAGGATCTTGATATACAGCCCCGCCAAAACTTCGGAGCCCCAATTGAGCCGTTGTCCGCAAAGTAATTTTGATGCACGACGGAATTTGGACTCACGGCTAGTGAGGGCCGAGTTTGCCGCTGCCTGACGTACCGTACGTCATGTACTTATACAAGTACATGAGCACATGCAGTTTCACAAATTCTCTGGGTCAAATCGCTTCTGCTGGAAGAAAGCCATAGAAACTCCACTCTACTTGATTACAAAGGCCGTAAACCCTGCTTTTCGGGACCCTTCCAGAAAATTTCAGGACCCTTACAGGAATGTTATTCGTATGCATGTTAAGGCACAAGTCCTCTACGAAGCTCAAAGAGTACTTATTCCACCTGTTAAGGCCCTGGACCCCCTTTTAGGGACGGAAAAAGAGACCCTAAACCCTAAACCCTAAGATTTAGAACCCCAAACCCTAAACCCTAGAACCGAAAACCCAAAAAATCGTCGACGTTTAAGGCCCTTAAGCTCCGTTTAAGGACGCAAATAGAAAGCCTAATTTGTTTGTCATCGACCTAAACTACCTTTAAGGATCCTCATAGTTTAGGGTTTAGGAGTTTAGGGTTTAGGGTTTAGGATTGCGTCTAAATCCTACACCTTACCCTAATCTAAAGTCCACTCCTTAAGCCAAGCTTCTTCATTACTTCAGGCATTGATCGCCAGCTGCACGATGAACTCGCTCCCGTCATCATCAAGTACACCCAAGACTCGTCGGAAGTATGCTGACTTGGCAGAGGTGTCGGGTTTACGGATTAGGGTTTTAGGAATCTATGGCCTCACATTAGGCTTGGTGTCTGGGGCGATCTACCAAGTACATGGACCGAAGTGCTCTAGCCCATGCATGGGGATCCATCTTGTGTTATAAAACAAGTGAGGCTCATGTAAGACTTTTCGGTGTTTCTATGGGTTTTCCACCAAACATGCCTGTAGAACCGTGGAAAGACCCTTGTGTTTCGAAGGCATCGTGGTAAAATCAACAGATACACGTGGCCTCTTGACACCTTCACATTGGCAAGGCTGGCTGGAAGCCTTCCTAAAGTCGAAGTCAAACAGCGCAAAACCTCAGCCCCAAACCGTAAACCCCAAACCTTAAACCCTAACCCCTAAACCCTAAACCTTAAACCTTAAACCCTAAACCCTAAACCTTAAACCCTAAACCCTAAACCCTTTTAAAACCTAAACCCTAAGCCTTAAACCTTGAACCCCAACTCGATTCAATTAGATCCTATGGAATCCCGACCTCGGACCTTGAGCCCTGGGCAGCCCTGAATCCTACACCCCAAACCCCCACAAACCTGCCTAGGGTTTAGGGTTTAGGGTTTGGGGTTTCGGGTTTGGGGTTTAAAGTTTAGGGTTTAGGGTTTAGGGTTCAGGGTTTGGGGTTTAGGGTTTGGGGTTTAGGGTACACCCCAAACTAGACTCAACCGGAGACGCCTCAGCTGTCATATAGGGGCGTTAATGATTAGACTAAGGTTTGGGGCTAGTATATACTATATCAGTTATAATGAGTAAAGCCCCCCAAAAAGCTAGGGTTTGGGGCTATTGTATATACTACTGTGATCGCCACCATTTCCAAAAACGTCCCTCGCAAAAGCCATATCATCACGGAGGTTCGGAGGCCGAAACTAGTGTGATCACTACCATTTCCAAAAACGTCCCCAAATCACGGACGTTCGGAGGCCGAAACTAGTGTGAGCACCAACATTTCCAAAACGTCCCTCGCAAAAACCATATGATCACGGACGTTCGGAGGCCGAAACTAGTGTGAGCACCACCATTTCCAAAACGTCCCTCGCAAAAACCATATGATCACGGACGTTCGAAGTCCGAAACTAGTGCGAGCACCACCATTTCCAAAAACGTCCCTC